ACTTACATAACATATGCTTCGCCGGGTCTACAAAGAGTTTTGAATTCAGAGTTTTCCTTCTCCTACACCCGGTTGCTACCCAGAACTAAGTCTGACCTACTATTTACTTATAGCTGGGAGGAGAAAGATTGCATTTTCACCTTTCCCAGGGATATCAGCAGGTAAATGAATGTAATGAACTCGCTCCTCCGATTCCTCAATTCGAGTCGCAATCCATTACTCTACCGTGCCTCTACCGTGGCGAAGGACATACTACACGGGTAAAGGATAGGATAATTCGCATTAACTCCCGATTACGGTCGAATATAGATCGACAACAACTAATCGACAACTACCAATCAAATACCGGAAATATCAACGGATTGCAAGGTCGATGGCAAGACGTTCACTATATATTGGCAATTTGTGAACTTCCATTGCCTGACGATGATTCGAGACGGAGTCGAAAAGCGTGAAAAAAATCTACAGTTTCGGAGAGCATTTCGTAGATAGGTTCGTCTATCGCCCAGTTCACAATCTGTTGTAGAGTGGTTTCACAGTGGAGGCCTGTATTTGTACTAAGTCGGTCCTAAAATAGGTTCGACGTACAAAACGTTAGGAACTTGATATAAGAGGTAATGATGCAGTAATCTAGTTGTGGTGGCTGATACTTTAATATCCGACTAACGGTCGTCCGACATCGACTGACTGACCAACTACTGAGCGACTCCTACTACTCTTACTTATTATAGGTGGGAAAGTCTATTAACTATAGAATAGGTGTGTTCCACTATAACACAATCCCTCTCCATCTTTTGAACAGAAGTAGAGCGTTATCACTTGTTTTCTGTTTAGGATTGGGTTTTTGATCCCGTCTTCTAAATTTTGCTCATTCACTTTTACTCCCAATTATTATGCGTCTTAGTGGCATTATAGCCTTACTTGCAGTGAAATGATTAAAAACACGAACAAATCTTAGTTAAGGCGAGCGAAAACTGCGTCGATCAGAGAAAAATAAATATTTTCTTTCTTATATATGTCGTATCTCTTCAGGGCGTAGGCGATCCACAACTTCCTATTATTTGTAGACTTTTATGTTTTTTTTAATTGTATCTCCTAATCCCTGTTCTATCATCCCTTTATACAAACCTGTTAGGTAAGTTACACGCCGTTTTTTTTTTGGCCTTCTAGTCTTCAATATTTTTTGTGAGTGTAAAATTCTCGAAGTCCTCTTTCCTCATCTTGTATCCCAGAAATTTCCACAGGTTCATTAGGTAGGTTACTCGCAGTTTTACCCTGTCCCTCTTGACTACAATATGTCCTGTGAGTGTAAAATTTTCCAAGCCTCTTTCCTCATCCTGTAACCCAGAAATTTACACAAGTCCGTTAGGTAGGTTAGTCGCAGTTTTTACCCTGTCTCGCTTGACTTCAGTATGTCCTTTTAGTGTCAAATTCTCGAAGCCCCCTTTCCTCATTATGCGTCACCTAGATTTCAACTGTTTCTTTTTTAATCAAAACAAAAGTTTTTATTTCGGTCCCATTTTTATTAAAACTTCCTCATTGCTCACATGCTCTGTTTATGGCATTCTCAGCAGCCTTATGTTGAACCAACTCTTCTTGTCTAAAGTCTCTTCATCAACCTTTCTAATAATTTGGCACGCTCAAATGACCGTACTGATAACAAATATGGCACCAGTTTGTTTACATTGCGCAGATCAGGTCGAAAATTTCAGTGATTGCGCGGGTCAGTGTTGCTAACATTGTGTGAAAATTTTGTGTGAATTGATTGGACGGTTTTTGAAATATTATAAAAAAAAGTTATCTCGATAATAATTTGGCACGATAGTGTATATCTTAAGTTGCTTTGTCTCCACACCTGTTTGCTAAGAAATATAAAAATTCTAACTTATGTATGCGAAAACAGCATATATTTGAAACAGTATATATTTGAACACACACACACACACACACACACACACACACACACACACGGTGTAAAATTCAAAATTGTCCAAATCCTGTCATAGCATGGGATAATTGTCTATCCGACAAAATATTTATATCTAAAAACCCACTAAACTGAGTTTCATTTTTCCAGTTTTAGATAAGCCGTTTAGCCATCTTGACAGCATTTGTCATAAAAAAATCTCTGAAAACCTCTGAGAAAAGGTTAAAATCGTTTTGTGTCAGCCCCACTATGTTTTTCCAAGTGAGCAATGGTGAGAGGAAAAAGATCATTCAGGCATTCAAGTAATGGTACCAACATTGATATTCAGGCTTCCATCTTCAAAGTTTATTCAAGAACCATCAGGTGAACGGTGAATAAGTTTAAAAAAGAGGAACCAGGTAGTTTTTGGATCGGTACAATGAACCGACCATTTTTTTCGTCATCTTTGGCGATTGAACGTATCTATGAGTTTCACTTGAGGTTCGAAATAAATTTGAGACTCAAGAGACGCGTATAAATAAGAAGTCTCTCTCAGAGGATAAATTTCAGAGTCTACTCGATGATAATGAAACGTTACTACCCTGCTTTTTGAGTTACTGAATGCTACAAACCAGTTTTTTCACCATTCGGTTGTTAGCACTAGGTCAGAGGAAAGATCAGAATCCGGTCTTCGATCTTGATTTTTCGATCAACACGTTGAAGCTAAGGAAATGTCTCAATAAACCTGGAGCTGACTGCTGGCAGTTAAGATTTAAAAAAAAAAAAAAAAATGCTCTCGTTTGGAAGCAGATGAAGTTGAAAAAAAAAATGACAGGCTTGCAAGGAAAATGAAAACTTGTTTCGCTTGCTATCCGGCGCAATTAAGTTGAAGATGACAGATGTGGAAAGAAAGTGTTTTTCTTTGCCATTCAAGTAATGTTTAGTAAGAACACTGTTAAATGATGCCAGAATTTTCCAAATAAATACCTTTCCTCTCATTACTTAAGCGTTGTCATATTATTTGTTATAATGCAAAATCCTGCCATTATTCAACAGCGTTCCTACTAAACATTCCTTGAGTACCAAGGAAAGCACTTTCTTTCCCCATCTGTCATCTTATATATGTAACCGCCCCCTATATATATATATATATATATATATATATATGTGTGTGTGTGTGTGTGTGTGTGTGTGTGTGTGTGTGTGTGTGAAAAATATATAGAAAATAGGAAAGAACGCGTTAGGTAAATAATCCAAAGTTTTTTAGTATTTTTTGTTGTTATTTTTAAAAAATAGTGCCTGATACAAAAGTAGACCATAAATATAATTATTTATTTAAAAATATGATTCCAACACGCTACATAAGAGTTCTCATGTTTCAAAACAAGAGCGGAAAACTTCAATATAATTATTTGAATTAAATTGAATTAAAGTGCTAAGCTTTGTTCCATCTTCAAGCGAATTTTTTTTTTGAATAACTTATTTCTGAAATTTATTATAAGCATATTCATTATTGAAATCAAAATTTTTATGGTAACGGCTAGAGCAATTGTTTAAAGAAAAAGTGGCGTAAGGTGTTAATAATTTGTATCAATATCAAGTTACATTCACAGATGTCTTGTCAGGGTAAGGTTGGGGTGTCTAAATTTAAAGCGGAAGATGATTTCGCCTAGTCTGGTTAAGTGTCTATGGAGATTTATTTATTTTTTTTATTTTATTTTTTTCTGAAAGGGTTTTGTGTATATAAAAACTGTCGTAAATCGCTAACATTTTTTTTGACGACTTCATAAAGGGCTATCTTTTTTTGTAGGGCATTTAAACTATTTATTAGGACTATGGAATTTAAAAATTATTTTATTGTTTGTTTGTTTTTATGCTAAATATTCAATGCAAAAATTTGATGATGTCGGCAAAAAATTTTTAAATAAATAATTACATATATATATATATATATATATATATATATATATATATATATATATATTTAATGAAAAACAGACCACTTTAACGTGCCATTACAATAATTTATTTCACAAAATCCTTTTTAAAGGACTCCGGATTATCATTCCAACAACGATTCGTTGTTGGAATTGTTACCTGATGATCCGAGTCCTTTAAAAGGATTTTGGTGAAATAAATTATTGTAATGGTACCTTAAAGTGGTCTGTTTTTCATTAAATATTAGCTCTGTATTCACATTGAGCTCTCAGGATTCCATCCTCCTTGGAATTACCCATTCGGTTTACCAAGTTCTTCATAACTTAACTTATATATATATATATATATATATATATATATATATATATATATATATATTGTTACGATCCCAAATAAATTTATTGTAAAATTATACCATTGCTTATATTTTAGAAGCATTCTAAAATAAAGAGCCCAGTAGTTGCAGAAAACGTAAAGATAGGAAACCCAAAGAGATAAGGTAGAGTTAGTGGCGACAAAGATTAACCAGAATGTACCCTTTCTTTCTCTTTTGGTCAACGTGTTGACAGTATGATTTGCACGGATAGATTCCAGATATGAAAAACTGAAAAACTTTAAAGTAAACTCTCTCTGACCGCGCATATGAGAGAAGGACTCAACGACCTCATTTCGATCACAATGGGAAAAATTTTGTATTTGAAAATTGGGACCACGTGACAAGAAAAAAAAAGAAAGAAACAAATAGTGAAACGAAAAAGTTACTCTTGTCCAGGCCCTCCGGTCGGTCGGACGTATTTGCGATAAAAGCACTGGACGGACGCGGCTGCGAGAAAAGCGAAAGTCTTGTCCAAGCCTCAGTGCTGGACGGACGAAGCCTGCTATAAATGCCAAAGACACTGTCGAAGTTTTAAAACTGGAAGGGCGAGTCAGAAAAAGATTTGGTTGGGTACGCGAAAGAGAATCCATCTTCGATGGATGCATTTGTTGTGAAAGTGAAAGTCTTGTAATGGGATGCGAAGGAGAGTCCATCTTCAAATGGAATGGATGGACGCGTTTGCCATAAACGCAAAAGTTTTGATTTGTTATGCGAAAAAAAAAAAAAAAAAAAAAAATGCGCGATGAACGCGAAAGAAATGTTTGGATTCTGGGCAATAAACTACGACGTACGCGGAATGTCGCTACATCGGGACGAAAGAGAGATAGAAGACAGTTTCGATTTATCCGTCACCTGAATCCCTAGACCAGACGCTTATAGAAAAAGAAAAGAAGAAAGCGAGAAAAGATCTCAAAAAGAGATACTAATGGGAAAAGGAAAGAAAGGACCTCAAAAGAGAATGCTGTTACACCGAGACGAAAGAGAGAGAGAGAGAGAGAGAGAGAGAGAGAGAGAGAGAGAGAGAGAGAGAGAGAGCAGTTTCAATTTAATCGTTACCCAAGTCCTTAGACAGAAAGAAAGAAAGATAGAAAGAGACATCAAAAGAGAATGCTGCTACATCGAGACGAAGGGGAGAGAAAGAAAGAGAGAAAGCAGTTTCAACTTAATCGTCACCCAAGCCCCTGGACAGGACGAAAAGAAAAAGAGTGAAAGAAAAGACCTCAACCGGAGACGCTTATAAAAAGACACAGAAAAGGAAAAAGAAAAAGAAAGAGAAATAAAAGAAGGCAATAGATATAAGAGACAATAGCGGAAAAGAACTTTTATTCGTTGTTTTTCTTATCTTTCATTTTGTTTAAATGTACTTCATTTTCACGTTTGTACTTTCATGCAAGTCTGACATGAGATGCTTTTTATTACATGTTTCTTTCTACTTGTCTTAAAATGGTGATGTTTTGTAAATTCGTGCAAGTATGGCACAAGGCCATACGTTGATTTCTGATTTACGTTTCTAAGAGGATGTTCCCCTCCCATTATTTTTGGCACACATTGTTTTTGTTTTGCCCGTTGTTCTCATTTTCCCCATATTTTTACGTTTGTTAATAAATTTCCTTGTCTCCATTGTCGTTTGTCGCCTATCGTGTTTGTTCCTTATTCGATTCCGCTCGGTCGTGTCTGATCAATCGGAAAGAGATCCTTGGGAAGGAAATATATTTTACGAAAATAGAATAAATGTTAAAAATAATAACACATTTTGCGATACTCCTCTATTGATATGGTTTGAGGACAGGGGAGTTTCGTAACAACACACACACACACACACACACATATATATATATATATATTCTGTTGAGGTTTATTCTAGACTCGATTAATTACTTAATTATAATTATCTCAAATCCTCCTAATTTCTGTCACTTGTATATCCTTGCTTGAACCGGCTTCTAATGCTCTGGATGGAGCGGCTTGGGGATAGTAGCCGTGGCTCGTGAGGGGCACAGTCCTATGGGTAAAAGAGTAAATCGGATGAGTTCCACCATGGAATATGTGATCGAGCGGCGCTATATCGAATCTGATTCGTTGCCTATTTGTCACCGAGGCCCGTTGGTACAGTTGGTATGACGTCTGCCTCATAACGTAACTGTCCGGGTTTCAATTCTCGGTAGTGGATGCGCCATACTGATGAGTCCCAAATATTGGATAAAACGGCCGTCCATTGCTTTCTGATGAGATTTCTTCTAGACTCGATGAATTTTATAATTATCTCAAATCCTCCTAATTTCTATCATATATATATATATATTGAGAAATGGACTTTTCAACAATGGTTTTAATATATTTTATTGTTATACGTTATTTATATAGACACAAATATTTAAATAAATTCTCTGTTTTATAAACAGTATTAGCAACTTTACCGGGCTGAACGTTCGAGAAATTTTCATGGAAAAATATGCGTATACACTGGTATAGCAAGTCAGGCTATATGACAGTTCCGTGTAGGATACAGGTTCGATTCCTGTCGGAGGACACATATTTTCTATGAAATTTCTCGGACATTCAGGCCGGTAAATGTTGTTAATACTGTTTTCGTAGGAATCGAACCCGTGTCCTATACGGAACCGTCATTTGATCTGACGTGCTGTACCACTCAGCTACGGAGAAAGCATTTGGTTAGCAAAGTCCAAATTAATGTTTATAAACAGCAAATCTTCAACGATCTTTCCCGAATGATCATATCTGCCCAAGAGAAGTACCTTAACGTAAATAGTGACAATATAAATAACGTATAAACAAAAAATATATTAAATAATTGTCGGACTTAATCCATTTCATAATATGTTGTCATTGTTAACGTTAAGGTACGTCTTATTTGTGGGCTTGAATGAAGAATGCGTTTGTAGACAGTCAACCAATGCCAAGGCTCTCGTAGACCTTATAAAAGGCGTCTGGACTACTGGGATTTCAGCAAAATATTTTCTCATAGCTAGCATAGGGTCCGCGTATTGAAGCGATTAGCAAGGCGAAAGGTGGCCATTTAAATACTAATTTATATTTAAATTCATAGAAAATAAAACTACTTTTCATAAATTTGAAGCATTGAAATAAGTAATAAGTAAGCTTTTTATTATTTTTAGGTGACTGGGAATGTGTTTTCATTGTTGCTAAAACAAAACAAAAAACGTTAAACATTTGATCTCGGCTGCAGAACAAACATCCACAGGAATAGTTTAGCGCACTTCATGCGCATAATCTTCAAGCTATTGCACATTCATTAGCTTTCTTAATCTTACGTGTTTTTTCAATTCATCCTGCAAATTTTCAATTAGATTCTAGCTAGTATTCTGTAAAAAACAGCTTTTTATTCATATCCTGAAAATATTTCCTAATTTAGATCCGTTAATGAAGATTCGTTTTTCAATAAACTTTTAATTCTTATCTAGCTTCCTGTTCCATTTGCAAAGAAACTTCGCCAAAGTATATCCTGAAAATATGTATATGCTCTATGAGTTCCGTGTTTTGGTTATTGCCATTTTAAAATTTTTAACCATAATTCCGTTTCAGATTTCTAACAGACATTTTCAAGTTGACATCCGCTTTTTCAAAATATTCCTCTTTTTATTATACTGTTAACTCTTACCTAGATTTCTGTTTCATTCGCAAAAAAAACTCCATCAAATTAAAATACTCTCTCCATGGTGTTTAATCATAAAGATTGTTTTTCTTCTGGATCGAAGACCAAACCTTGACAACTAAATACAGATTCAAGCCACAATTCTATGGAAATAATTTTTTTTTTATTCATATCCTGAAAAGATCCGTGTTACGGTTCATTGCAATTTTTAAATCTGCAACCATGCTTCAATTTCAGATCTCTAACAGACACTTTCAAGCAAATTTGGACCTATTTACCCGCCCTCACCCCCAAAAACAGTGTGTCAGAAGGACGTTTTTTTTATTGAGATAGGTATTATTTTAAGTACCTTCGCTCCTCGGCAATGTTTTTTTTTTTAAAGCGATAATTATAATTGTATTAAACCAAAAGTTACGAAAGTAAATTTATACATTTTCTTTGTTCTTGAGAATTGATAGCAAAAATAATAAACACTATTTATTTATTAGATTGTTTATTTGCACTGTTTATTATATTGTTTATCGGAATGGTTGGCAAAATATTAGCTAATTGCCAATCGATTCGAACTTTATAAAATGGTAAATAATAAGGATAGTTGGTTTATATATTTTAATAATTGAGTAAATGTTTATAAATCTAGGATTAAAATTATTTTCATATTTATTTATTTACTAGCTATTTTATTCCATGGATGACGTTCGCTGGATTTCACGATTAATTCCGATTCTTCCCAAATTTATTTCCAAGTTATAAAAATTGTCATCATATAAAAAGATTTTTCGCAAAAAACACGTAAAAAAAAGTCGCCGAAAACAATCAAAGTAATGACAAATTGGGAATCCAACATTTCAGGATTGCAGATTCAGATCCAGCCTGGAATGGTTTTAATTTGCTCTTGGAGTCGACCTTATTCCAAAATGATATGATATGTTGGGCTACGGCTGATAGGGGGAAGTTGAAAAAGTGTGACACAATGACACACTGTCATTTCATTTATTATATAGATAAACTGATAAATGATGAATATTGCATTAGTTTTAATTGTATATAAGTATTTAGAATGTTGTAAATCTAAAATTATTCTGGTATATAAACAATCTAATAAATAAATAATGTTTAATATTTTTATTGTAAATTCTCAAGAACAGAAAAAAATTGTATAAATTCACTTTCATCGTCTGTTTAGGTTTTGTTAGAATTGTAATCGTCGGTTTTTAAAACAATAAACATTGCCGAAGAGTGAAGGTAGTTAAAATAATAGCGGTGTCAACGGAAAACCGTTTTCTTGACGTTCCGTTATTTTTTTTTTAGCGGGGACAAATGTCCATGTTTTACCCTTTTTTTTTCTTTATACCCTAAAATCTTACCAGGCTTCCTGTTCCATTTTCAAAGAACTTCCATCAATGCAATATTCTCCGTTCTCCATGTTTTCTGTTCCTCTTGAAGAGAAACTCCGCCAAAGTGTGATATTCCTTCCTCCATGTTTTGTCATAGAGACGGTATTCTTTGGATTAAATATCTCACGTTGACTCTTTGTCTTATGCTGCAAAAGTTCTTGTTTCCCGCTCATCTGTTCATATCATATTTTCACAGATGGAAAGAGGCTTATCAATATGCTTACTTGTAAAGGCAAAACGTGATTTTAAATTACGTGGCTTTAGAAAAGCAGTTTTACAATGTCGACATGTTTGCAGGGCCACCACATTTGCTGTATTTAAATACAGCAAATGTGGTGACTTTATTAACTTGATAGGTTACAGATATAGAGACGTAACGTCACGTGAAGATATCTCTGGATGAATTTAGATGTATATTTTGGATTATGTCAGCGGCAGTAAATAAACAATCTAATAAATAAATAATATTAGATAAATAAATGGTAGATAGATAGTTAGATAGATAGATAGATAGATAGATATGTATAGACTGAGATAGATAGATAGATAGATAGATAGATAGATAATGAACACAGAAAGATATGAATAATCCTCTTTTTACATTATACTTACCAGTAATAACCAATAATAATTATAAGCCTTACCAAATTTCCTGTTCCTCTTGAAGAGAAACACCGCCAAAGTGTGATAATCCTTCCGCCATGTTTTGTCGTAGAAACGGTGTTCTTTGGATTAAATATCTCACGTTGACTCTTTGTCTTATGCTGCAAAAGATCTCATTTTACTCTCATCTGTTCATATCGTATTTTCCCAGATGGAAAGAGGCTAATCAATAGGTTTACTTGTAAAGGCAAAACGTGATTTTAAATTACGTGGCTTTAGAAAAGCAGTTTTACAATGCCGACATGCTTGTTGGCTACAGCAAATGTGGTGACCCTATAAACTTAATAGGTTACAGAATTAGAGACGTAACGTCACGTGAAGATATCTCTGGTGTAATTTAGATGTATATTTTGAATTGAGTCAGCGGCAGTTTGTTTCAGTTTCATAATTGAATTCTGCGTGTCTGATTCCATATGTGCCGCAGAGGAAGGTCATGGAATCAAGCGTGTGGGTCACTTACTGGCAAGCTGGGGGTCCATCATAAACGAAATCACGCCATCAGAACTTTCTTCTACTTTGATTTTCATTCACCTTCAACGAACTCTTGAATTCTTATCCTGAACCCGAACGTTGGCGGCGAATTTAGTCATCAGCACCATTCTTATAATGGAAGCGATCAGCAAAGAAGAAATTAAATGATTGTATACGAGATAAAAGCCAACGGCGATATTTTGGATTATTGTCATGAATAAGTATGCAACCACGCATCAGTTTCAGATTTCTGACACATACTTTCTAGGTGGCATTCAAAATTTCAGAATAAATCTTCGTTTTTCATTAAACCCTTAACTCTTAATTAGCTTCCTCTTCCATTTGCAAAGAAACTCCGCCAAAGTATACCCTGAAAATATTTATATGCTATATGAGATCCGTGTTTTGGATCATTGCCATTTTTAAATCTCCAACCACGCTTCCGTTTCAGATTTCTAACAGACATTTTCAAGTTGACATCTTTTTTAAAATATTCCTCTTTTTTTTTTCATTATTCCATTAACCTTTATCTATCTTCCTGATCCCTTTTGCCAGAAAAAAAAAATCCGTCAAAGTGTGATATTCTCTTTAATGCTTTTGTCGGGGTTCGTTCTATTAACAAAATTAACAGTCAACTGCAAATCCATTTGGGGTTATAAACTGAGCTGTTACAGATAACTTGGTTTATATGATCTAATATATCTTTTCAGTTCATCCCATAAGTTTTCAATTGGATTCTGGTTGGTATTCTGTGAAGGTCTTGTTAAAACTTTTATAGTTTTTCTAAAAGATATTTTAAAACCAGCCTGACGAAGAATTCTGCTATGGCTACCGCAAAGGATCACGGTCTTCGAGACATAACCGGATGTAAAGATATTTCTATCCACATTAAGATCCGTGTTTTGGTTCATTGCCATTTATAAATCTTCAACCACACTTAGGCCTCGGATTTCTAACAGACACTTTCAAGTTGACGTCCAAGATTTCAAAATAAGCTTTGTCTTTCATTAAACCCTTAAATCTTACCAAACTCTCTTTTCCATTTCTAAAGAAAAAGTGACACGTTTTCTTGCCGATGTTTTATCATAAAGATTGATTTATTTAGATTGAAAACCACGCTATGACAGCTCAATATTGATTTAGGCTAGGATTCTGTGAGAAAAAAAAAAAAAAACAAAAAAAAAACAAATAATAAAAAAAAAACATTTTTTTATTCATATCCTGAAAATATTTCTATAATAATTAAGATCCATGTTTTGGTTTATTGCCATTTTTTAATCCTCAACCAGGCTTCAGTTTTGATTTCTAAAAGAAACTTAGAAATTGACATCCAAAATTTCAAAATAATCCTCTTTTTACATTATACTTACCAATAATAACCAATAATAATTATAAGCCTTACCAAATTTCCTGTTCCTCTTGAAGAGAAACACCGCCAAAGTGTGATAATCCTTCCGCCATGTTTTGTCGTAGAAACGGTGTTCTTTGGATTAAATATCTCACGTTGACTCTTTGTCTTATGCTGCAAAAGTTCTCGTTTTACGCTTATCTGTTCATATCATATTTTCCCAGATGGAAAGAGGCTAATCAATAGGTTTACTTGTAAAGGCAAAACGTGATTTCAAATTACGTGGCTTTAGAAAAGCAGTTTTATAATGCCGACATGCTTGATGGCTACAGCAAATGTGGTGACCCTATAAACTTAATAATTTACAGAATTAGAGACGTAACGTCACGTGAAGATATCTCTGGATGAATTTAGATGTATATTTTGGATTGTGTCAGCTGCAGTAAATAAACAATCTAATAAATAAATAATGTTTAATATTTTTGTTGTAAATTCTCAAGAAACAAAAAAAAATTGTATAAATTCACTTCCTTCATCTGTTTAGGTTTTATTGCAGTTCTAATTGTCGCTTTTTAAAATAATAAACATTGCCGAGGAGTGAAGGTAGTTAAAATAATAGCGGTGTCAAGGGAAAAACCGTCTTCTTGACATTCCGTTTCTTTTCTTTCTTTTTGAGCACAAATGTCCAAGTTAGCCCCTTTTTTCTTTATACGCTTCACTCTTACCAGGCTTCTTGTTTCACTTTCAAAGAAACTCCGTCAATGCAATATGCTCTCTTCTCCATGATTTCTGTTCTTCTTGTAGAGAGAGGGAAACACCGCCAAAGTGTGATATTCCTTCCTCCATCTCTTGTTGTAGATATGGTGTTCTTTGGATTAAATGTCTCACGTCGACTCTCTCTTATGCTGGAAAAGTTCTCTTTTTAATCTCATCTGTTCATATCGTATTTTCACAGAAGGAAATCGGCTAATCAAAGTGTCACGAGACTCGAGACATGACCGGACGTAAAGATATTACTATCTTAATTTAAGATCCGTGTTTTGGATCATAGCCATTTTTAAATCTCCGACCACGTAACGGTCGCAGATTTCCAACAAACACTTTCAAGTTGACATCCAAGATTTGCAAATAAGCTTCGTTTTTCATTCTATCTACACGCCTCTTACCTAGCTTCCTGTTCTACTTGCAACGGAACTCCGCAAAAGTAAGATGCTTTCCTCCATCTTTCGTCATAAATACGGTATTCTTTGGATTGTAAACAACATCTTGACGACTAAATATAGCTTAAAAAAAAGCGAAGTCATGTTGAAATCAACTCTCAAAAGGTACAGGTTGGGGGGTGGGGGTGATTCCTCTGGAACTACCAGCTTTTCGATCAACTCTCGTCAGAGGGGAACTTTGATAAAGTTTTTAATAATATTCTGGCATCTCGTCTGCAGTCGCTCTCTCACAGACGCGCCGTCGCCTCTCTCTGTCTATTTTACAAATACTTTCATGGTAATTGCTCCGAGGAGCTGCATTCGCTGGTTCCCAGACTTCATGAATTCAAGCGCCTTACGAGGCTGACATTCCGCTCTCACCCTTTCACTGTCGAATCTACTAAATGTAGCCGTCTTTTCTACTCCAATAGCTTCATACCTCGCACCTCTCGCCTGTGGAACTCCCTTCCCTATTCCTGTTTCCCAGAGAGCTATAATCTCCAACTATTCAAATGTAATGTCAATCGACATCTCCAGTTGCCTTGATCTATCCACTATCCTTCTCCTCATCCTTTCCTCTATCACTCCTATCTGACCTTGCTCCAAATCTTCTGTAACCCCTTGCGTCCTAGTGGCTTCCCGCCTTGCTTGGGGTGAAACGCTTAAAAAAAACAAAAAACAACAACAAAAAAAACATAAAAAAAAAATCAAAACAAAAAAAAACAAAAAACAAACAGAATTACTCATCAAAATGAAAGTAGCAGTTCAAAGGTAGCCGTTAACTGTCGTTTCACAGAAGACAAATACTGAGTGACAGCTATTTGGTCAAATTAGGTGACGCCGGCTAATCTCTCTTCTAACCTAAATCTAACTGATCTGTGGAGAAAAACTGGCTTGTCACTCTCAATCTATATATAAATTTCACTGACTTCCGTTAGTCCGTCCGTCCATCACACCCTCTAAAATAGTCATACATTGACCCATCGAAGCTAAATATTGGGAGAATTGCAAACAGGTAAGAGGGTACAATGTACAGTTGTTTTTTGTAGGGTGCGTAGCTTAGTACAATAATGTTTCATAAAGTTTTATTATTTAACATACAAAATACTTTCACTATTTTAAAATAATAATTTAGTAGTTAAAATAACAAATATTTATTTTTGCATATTTTTATAAGTTTTTTATATATAAGAATCCAGTTTTCAGTTCTTCCTGTACTTGCAAGAACTATAAACAAATCACAAGGCCAAACGATTGAAAAAGTTGAAATTTGTCTTCAGAAAAAAATATTTACGCATGGCAAGTTGTATGCTGCATACTCAAGAGTAAGAAATTCTAGGAATTTATTCTTCGCTATTAAAAATGAAAAAAAAGATATTTTCTTAAAAAATATTATTTACCATGAAGTCCCATGAAATTAAATTAAATTAAAGAAATTATTAAAACGCAAAGTAGGGATTTTGTCAAAATCCTTTTCCAAAAACAAATCAGCTTATTCAAATTTCATCGACTGGCTTGCGAAATTGAACGAAAAGTAGAGTTTGTAAATCTCACCAAAAAAATGTTAGCGATAATTTTAACAATGAGTATTTCAACATGCGTCAGAGGGTGGCAAAAAATTATAGTGATAAAAAATCACAAATGCCTTATATTTAAGGCATTTGTGATTTATATTTAAATGCCCTAAAATAAATAGATTGTTCTCATACGTACAGGTCATCATTACAAAGAGGTCAAAAGGTAGTAGTAGTAGTACTAGTACTAGTAACATCACCACCAGCGATGAAAACTCATTAGAACGGATACAGACTCTGGACTTTTCCACTTCTTGAAGGAATCCCTTCCTGATTGACCATGTCTTCAGGGGTGTAGTCATACTCACCACGCTTGGCCAACAGCGAGTTGGTGAGGCTATTTAACACATAT